GTAGTTAGTAGTTAGTAGTTAGTAGTTAGTAGTTAGTAGTTAGTAGTAGTAGTAGTAGTAGTAGTTGTTGTTGTTGTTGTGGTAGAAGAACACTTGGTGGTTCCCCGAAGGGCCCCAGCGGATCAGCAGTCCAGCGGATCAGCGGCTCAGCGGATCAGCGGACCAGCGGATCAGCGGATCACCGGACCAGCGGACCAGCGGACCAGCGGATCAGCAGATCAGCGGACCAGCGGAACAGCGGGTCAGCAAAGGGGGCGGATCAGCGTTAGATCTATAGGGATGTAAATCAGATCTATAGGGATGCACTTTTCTATCTATTTCGAGACCACCAAAAAGTCTGCCTAAAAATTCCATTTCTTTACTTGAGCCCGCACACAGCCGCACAGAATAAATAGCACGAACGTAGACAGGCAGGAATTAAGTAGACAACATGTTCTTGAATCAACTCGATCCTGCGCACGCTCTCACACAGGCAAGAGGGAGAGGTGGATGTTTGGATCGATGGATCGATAGATCGATAGACGGAGAGAGAAACAGAGAGAGAGAGAGAGAGATTTGTGTGTACATGGTTTCAAAAGCTTTCACGGATGCTGAGAGCTGCTGACATTGTCGAGAACGATTGCAGAGACCAAATGGAGGAGGTCATTATGGTCCGAGGCAGTGTTCATGGACTACAGACTAGAAGAAGACCAAGGGTGGAGCTCAAGGATTCCAATCACCATTTCAGTTGATTCACGACCAGCTTTTACGAAGTTAGTAGAACGTGTTTTTGCAAAACCCTTTCTGTGCACGACCCTTCCGATTGTCTTTGAATACAGGTGTTCAATTGTGTTCATCAAAGAATAGCGTGTTTGAACAAAAAAAGGAAACCACTCCAAACGCGCCTGCAAGTCACAAATCGCGGACTCTGTGTGGTCTCCGCAAACGCCCGTGTCATCCGGCAGCTGAGAAATCTCCTGCGCGTCTCAGACATATATACAGATCTTATAACCATGTATAGGTCTTCCAAACTGCCTTCCAACTATGCAACATGTCTGTTAGATTGGACTTGTTTCGCAGATGAAAAGGCAGACATTCTTGCGTAGCAGACTCAGGTATAAGTTGGGTGTCTCACGTGGAAAATGATGCTAAATACATGTCGTTCTCAAACATAGTGATAGTCTTTCACGGACTGTTCCTTCTAATGGGCCACCACTTCAACCCATCGTGAGTTGGTGGGCAATCATCCCAAATTCATTGACCTTTAGCATTGTAGGGAATGCTTGACCGTTGGTTCTGGGCCCTGTGTGCCCCTGTGTGCACCAGTTCCTGGATCTCCAACACCCAACACAAAGAGTTTCTTGATTACACGAGCAGTGGACCATGTAATCAATTCAATCTGTAATCATGTAATCATGAATCAGTTTCTGGATATCCTCAAGATTACATGATTACATGTGATGTAAGAGATACAAAAGTTCTGCAAATGATCCTGGGTGCTTTCTGGGTGCTCTCCTGGGCGTTAATAGCAACACTCTAGGTACACAACTATACCAAGCCGATCCAAAAAAGCTTCCGAATCGAAAGCCACGGGCCACCGAAGAAAGTTTTCACCGAACCCACCAATCCTTTCCGCGTGCAGGTCCCAACGACTGACTGGTCGCAGGGAATGGGGGAAGGAGCTCACCCTCAATAAAGAGACTCCATTGGATACCCTCCCGCATTCCTTACGAAATTCTTGAAGAAATAAGAATGATTGCACCCGGCTCGAGGAAAATCACCGCATTTGGCGGAGAATCTGGAAAATCACAATCACCTTGAAAGTAAACCGCTTTATTCTCACCATTTTCCTTCCTCAGTCGCACCAGTTGCTCGACACGCTGCTCCTGAATGGTCACCACATCGTAGCCTCACGACCATCGTCGACCGTCGAACAGGACGGAGGTCGTGGGACTGGAGGTCGTGGGGGGGGGGGGTGGAGCTGGTCCTTAGATCTTCAACCAGGGTCCTAGTAGATGCAGGTCTTTGGTATATCCCATTGAATTCCATTCCCAAGGGCTGAACCAGGAAATGAATAGTGCAGCAAAATGTAGTACATCCCTTATGAACTAAAGGTGCTAAGATGTGCTAAGGGTCTAAGAGTATGCCAAAGAAGGGTATTTGTTGTTCTGCTCCATCGCTTGGTATGAAGATGTTCTACGAAAGAGTTCTATTCCTAGTGCTCCAACATGCTCCAACTACCTCCTCCAAAGGAGGTTGAGGTGGGTTTGGGGTTCTAACTACCTTCTGAGGATGCACATTGGTAGGAACCCTAGCTTACATACACTCCAAACCTGTCAAGCATGTGTCATCGACCAGGACCCTCGAGTTCGCAATAAACATGCATAAACATCCCGGCGGCTCTCTTTCTGCGCACGTAGTCGGCAATCCAGGATATTGGGTTGCATGCAAAAAAGGGTTTTCGGCGAAATCACGATTTTTTTGTGGTCTGATCAAGAATTATCTGAAAATCACTGTCAAGAATGGTGACCATTTTTGACATCGATTTGCGAAAACTCAGGGTTTGGGACCATTTTTTGCGCGCGACCTCTTGCGTCACCTCTGGTTCAACTGTGTGCCCAACATGTGCTTCCGTAAAGTGAGAGTCACTACCACCTTATGTTTCCAAGTCACAGAAATCCAGATCATCGTATATCAACCCAAAGCCATGTTTGAAAGAACATGAAAAGCCATCAACGTCTAACATGCACTAGAGACTATGTGCTAGCTGCCAACGTCAGATCAGAGACACAGAAGAGACCAAGCGTAGCGTAAGT